ATATGAAGAATTATACCGGAGGCGATGTCGCTCGCCAGTTGGCTAGTTTGAACCGGGAGAGGCTCGGTTGTTGGGTACTGATTTGGTACAGGATGCCTTGGATAAGGTCAAGATTATTCAGGATCGACTTCGCATAGCTCAGTCTAGGCAAATGAGTTATGACGACTGTAAGGTTCGTGACATTGCATTCATGGCAGGAGAAAGAGTATTGCTCCGGGTTTCAACTATGAAAGGTGTAATGAGATTCGAAAAGAAGGGCAAGTTGAGCCCTAGGTATATTAGACCCTTTGAAATTCTTGAAAGAGTAGGTGAAGTAGCCTACATGCTTGCACTACCACCTAGTTTATTAGCAGTTCATCCGGTATTCCATGTATCCATGCTCCGAAAATATCATGATGATTCATCCCATGTGTTAGACTTCAGCTCAGTTCAATTGGACAAAGATTTGACTTATGAGGAGGAGTCGGTAGCTATTCTAGCTCGGCAGGTCCGTCAGTTGAGGTCTAAGAGTTATCCTTCAGTTCGGGTGCAATGGAGAGGCCAGCCGATTGAGGCAGCTACCTAGGAGTCCGAATCGGACATACGGAGCAAATATCCACATCTTTTCACCAGCTCAGGTACTTCTCTAATTCTGTTCGAGGACGAATGTTTGTTTTAGAGGTGGAGAATGTGATGACCCAAAAAAAATGCCATCTTTAATTTAAACGATCATTTATGTGTTCTATGAAGATGTTGAGAGCTTACTTGCTATGAGTTATGTATCACCTGAATAGTTGATGTTAATGGCATTCCTTTTCTAGTAATATATTGCTTATGAGGCCACTGTTAGTATTGTTTTCATGTTGTGTTATGTTGATTGGATTATGTATGTGTTGTTAGGATTGGTTTCTAAGATTCTCTGCCAGGTGGATAGGCCTAGTTACAAAGGAAACTCTCGCGAAAGTTTTGGAAATTTTGGGAGTTAGTAAAAATTCGGGAAATTGAAATAGGTGAAAGAAGAGATAAGTTATGTTATGTGTTGGGAGACGAACTCTACTTCTCATTTGAGGACTATTAATATGATGGATATCAATTTAATATGATAATAAGTGTACGAGGCATATTATAAGTGATGTGGGGTCTAAGGAGAGGCATAAGTCTAAGTCAAGTTGGAAAATTTCATAATAAACTAAAGTTCCAAATGAGTGCGCACAAGACCAAATTTTGGACAAGCATATCTAAATATATATAAGAATTTTTATGATGATCAACCTATCAAATGAAAGGTCTTCGAGTCTAGTTTCTAATGCTTCAAATTGTTCGTCATTTGGACACTCCTACAAGAAGTTATGACCAAATTACCAAAGGCCGGAAGAATGTGATTCTGCGGTCAGATGTGCGACCGCAGAATCATTATGCCAACCGCAAAACGCATTGTGCGACCGCAAAATGGTCGCAGACCTGACCAGTGTAGCCCAGTTCTGGGCATCAGTTTTGCGGTCTATTGTGCGACCCACATACCCATTGTGCGGTCCATTGTGCGACCGCATACCTGAGTTCGGAGGGTCCATTTTTCTATTTTCATAACCCGACCCCATTTTGATAAATATGCTTTGAGGCTTATTTTGGGGCAATTATCTAATGATTTTAGAGAGAAGTGAGAGTGTTCTAGAGATAGGAAGTGAATGAAGTGCTTTGTTCATCAAAAATCTTGTTCAAACTTTGAAATCCAACAAGGAAATATCACAAGATTTCACCCAAGAGATAAGGTTCTAACCCCTAGTCTTCAATTTCGAGTTTGGGTAAAGATGGGTGATTGGGAGTGTGATTCTTGGATGTGAGAGTATTAATTATACATGCTTGTACCAATAAGGTTGTGGGAAGATTGTTGAGTTCAAATGGGTAAAGATTGGGTTCAAAATGGTATAAATCTTCAAAGACTTTAATTAAGGATTTGAAAGGCAGTCCGATGTCGGAATTCGATAATTTTTGTAGGGTTGAACTCTTATCGGGCCGGGTGTTCGGATTTTGTGAGTTTTTTCGGGATTCGAGACGTGGTTCCCACTGTCGATTTTTAAAATAAATTTCTAATTTTTAATCCAAAAAATTAGTAATTTCATATGGAATTAATTCCTACGATTCGTGTTGAGTATATTGAATTGTCTGTGACTAGATTTGAAGCTTTCAGACACTAATTCGCTAGGCAAAGGTTTATTGAAATCTTGAATTTGGTTGCAAAGCGAGGTAAGTGTCGTGGTTAACCTTGACTTGAGGGAATAGGACCCTTGAATTATTTGTTAAGAGAATTTCATGTGTGATGACGTATAGGCGAGGTGACGGGTGCCTATACGTAATCAAATTGATTGTTTGCATAATTATCTGAAAATCATAAATTATTTTAAATCATGAATTAATTATTATATTAATTATTTCTCTCAAATTTCTTGTTCAATATTATGTCTTAAATTCATGTTATAATTGTTAGATGCTTATTTGAATTATGTATTGTAATTGCTACTTGACATTTAGCATATTATATATTAAATTGCCTTTTTTCTCCCTGATTTTCACAATTAATTGGTACTGCCATTACTTGTTTCCTAAATAATTATAATAATTGTATGCTTTGTTGCCTAATAATTTCTTATTAAATGTGGTATTTATTAGAGTATTTTTATATTTAATAGTTGTTTAATTATATTGTTGGACCGGGTTGCACGCCGCAACGGATTTATTTTAAGTTTATATTGTTGGAGCGGGTTACACGCCGCAACGGAATTTAATTGAAAGATTATATTGTTGGATCGGGTTGCACGCCGCAACGAATTTTATTTTAAGTTTATATTGTTGGAGCGGGTTGCACGCCACAACGAAAATAAATTGAGGGATTATGATAACTGAATTGACTTCAATTTTTTATATGATTTACCGGTCTTACTTCTATTCCTGTTATTATTATTATTATTATTATTATTATTATTATTATTATTATTATTATTATTATTATTATTATTATTATTATTATTATTATTGTTATTATTAATGCGTACTGGTTAATGTAAGCTACCTGCCTTAGCCTCGTCACTACTTCGTCGAGGTTAGGCTCGGCACTTACAGAGTACATGGGATCGATTGTACTCATACTACACTCTGTACTTCTTGTGCAGATACCGGAGTTGGTCCCAGTGGCATACTGTAGATTTGCTCGGATTTAGCTATTTGCAAGAGACTTGAGGTATGACTGATGGCGTTCACAGTTCTGAAATCCCCTTCCACTTTATCGTAGCTGTGTATTTCTTTCAGACGGCTTCATTTTTATTTAGACCTTTATTTGTATTATTCTAGTAACTCGTGCACTTGTGACACCAGTTCTGGGATGGTATTTAGACATCGCTAATATTATGGATTATTCACTTTATTTCAGACTTTATTTTCGCATTTGTTTCTTTGTTATTAATTAATTTAAAATTATTTAAAAATAGCTAATATTATTCTAACATTGGCTTGCCTAACAAGTGAAATGTTAGGTGCCATCTCGGTCCCGAAGGTGAAAATTTCGGATCGTGACAGCTCAATAAACATTAAATTTTTTTATAAATTTGGAGGAATAATTAATTTCTTTCCCATGGAGAAACTGCATAATTAGCACATTTTTGTTTTTCCTATTATACATGAAGTGCCACAACTGACAAAATGTTCAAAAGACTGGTCATTAGGGGAATTAGTTGAGACTTAGGGGCCATTAATTAGTTTTTATTTATGCCCTTGATAAGACAATTGGTCCTGTTGTAAGGCAAATGATAAGATGATTCTTGAGAATTCCAGGAAATAAGATGATTATCATTCACAAGCCACAAACAAAAAGGCGCAGCATCATTGACAGAGAAGTCTGCCTAAAACAAGGCTTCATTTCTTCCCTTGCAAGGAAGTTTTGAATTTAAATTGTTACGTAGTTTGTTTGGTTGGGCACGGAGTTTAAGAAAGAAAGAAATGCTTTTGATATTTGCGATCTAAAATAAGTCATAGATATTTGTGTGTCTATAAATCAAAGAGTAAAATAAAAAATTTAAAATTAAATTATTTTTAAATATAAAAAGGTATTAAAAAAGGAAAATGCATCGATATCTTAAAGACCGGAGAAAACTACTTGATCATTGGTTACACCCTTTGCAAAATAAATCATCTTTATAATCCAGTTGTTCAGCCAAAAAGATTTTCCAGAAAGAACTGTAGGTTTTTAAAAACAATCCAGTAAGTTTTAGAACACTAAAAATCTTAATTGTCAACTTATGTCCGAAAAGTTTTTTAAAATACAAGAAACACTCAATTCACTTATTTCACCCCCTCTTGTGTATTTTATCAGTTGTGTGGTGGTGAGTCTGGGTTTTTTTTTCGACATGAATCTGGTGATTGACAATGGTAATAAATAGAGTATTAGTAAAAGGTTACATTCACATGAATCTTTAAATGAACGTCTTAATGATTTTAAGACATTCATATAAGGTCTGAATGATCCAGATTTTTCTCTTAATGATTTAGACTTATTAAGAGTTAATAGCTGGCTGTGAAAGGAAAAAATATAATGCAATTAATAGGTTTAGATTTGAATGATTGAGATTCGGATCTCTACCAAGTACAAACACAAATTTGATCAAAGTGCTACAGCAAGTTATATCTCTAGTCATTAATCACTGTCATAAATCATAACGAACTCTTAGTTAATTATATTTTATTCTTTAAAAAAACATAATTATGCAAATAATGTCCATGTATATAAATTAATACTCATATTATCGTAACAACTCGAAATTAATATCTATTAAACCTACACTACCTACATCACACGTAACTTCTCGGTGTTTCGTGCTTTGAACTGTCTTTTTTTTCTATTACCTTTAACAACTTTAATTATTTGGAAACAATAAAGAAAACCATTTAAAACATCAAACTCAACACTTAAACTTCACTTTAAATATAAAAAGACAAACAAAAGCAAAGAATTTATTTATCCTTCAACCAGATATAATTTTTCTTTTACAATATAAACGCATAGAAATCAAGAAAAAAGTAATTCTACATTAATTATTTTTTCCATCTGCTCATGAACAAGCATCGGTATGATCATTTATTGTAACGTTGAGATTTTGGCCAGCATAAGTGAAGAAGACACCACTGTGTGGATAAATAGGAAGGCCTCCATTAACGTCATAGATATCGTCATGGGATTGGGAGATGACGGTAGTGTTAACTTTAACGGCAGAATCGAAATTGGGAATGCTTAGTTTTACATCAAGTTGAACACAATCACACGTATTTTCCACGGTTGCATTCCATATTTGTTGCCCGTTGATGGTTTCGTTCAGTTTTGCTTGGCTGATAACAATGCCAGGATTGCATCCAAAACTCTCAATGCCTGAAAATGAAGAAAAAAAGAGTATTAGTATTCCATTGCTTGTAAATCTTGATATATTTGGGTTTTTTTCTTTTTGGTTCTTTTACATTGGAAATTATGGAATTGAAGCGAGAAGCGCTAATTCAATAACAATAACAAAAAATCCAGTGCAATCCCTCAAAGTAGGGTCTTGGAAATGTAAATTATACGCAGACCTTATCCCTACCCTATGAAAATAGAGAGATTATTTTTGATAGACTCCCGGCTTAAGAAAAAATAAAAAAGAAGTAGAAACAACCGGCAGTAACAATAGCAAGTTAAGTTGATAGAATAAGTGAAGTTGTTTCCACTTCATATATGAGAAGTGCTTATTCATACATATATATATAGAGAGAGATCAGTGAAAGCGAGAGGACATGAATCATGGGCGGAACTAGGGAGGTATGAATCCCGTTTTGTCGAAAAATTACACTATATAAATTAGGTTAAACTTACACACATTTTTTTTAAATTTATTTAGAGTCCCCTTATTATGAATAAAGGAAGAAGAATAAGAAAAGGGGTTGAGGTTAATACCTTCATAAAAGAGGGCAAGACAGAGAACTAAGGCAAGGACGTTGATGAATGCTGCCATTGAAAGATGTTGTGTTTGTGCCTCTCAATGGCTATTGCAATATTACCTTTTTTTTGCTGTTTCACCTCCTAATAACTTCAGATTTATATATATTCTTTGTAGGAATAATTCAGGTAACCTAATTAATGTATGGGATATTCTGTGTTAGGTAACTATAAATTGTAATCCTGGTAAAGGTAAAACGTATATTTTTTAAATGGTAACCATATCTCTCTTTTCGAACAGTTTTAGATACACTTTAATTTGCGGAATTTGATTTCCTTAAGAGGTAGATGAGTATACAAGTATTTACCATAATAATTCTGCAAATTAAAACCTGTCTATAACTGTATGAAAAGAGAGATCCGGTCAAACTTGATGGGAAAATATATGAGGGAGTTTTCCCATTACGATAATTACATTTTCTCCACCGGAAATGAAAAGGGAAGAGAGGGAAAAAAACAAAAGATAAAATGAAAAAAAAGTTCGCTCTTATAGTTACCTACCAGTAAAGGATGGGCTCAAGCACTATAGTGCAACTATAGTGCATGGTGAGTTTATTTTTCTAATATTTTATAAAAATAGCCGATTGAATTTACAATTTATTTTTTTAGCCAGTATAAATAAATTATACAATCGATTATTTTTAGTTTAATCGGTTGGGTAGACTCATAGGTTAAAATGTTGAAGTTTTAAATAGCAAAATATTATATAATAATTATCAAGTATTAAAAATTTTCAATGTTACACAAAAAAATATTAAAAATATTCAACAGCTGGAAAGATGCACGGCTCAATCTTACTCATTCTCATTTTTATGGTGTTTTGGACTTTTAGTTTCATTTGTTTCTTTCCGTTATAATTATTTTTTTTCCTTCTGCTTAAGCATATTTACAAAGTTAGGAGTAGATTATTGATGTGAGTTCAAATCTCAATTACATACATTGAATTAATACATTTTTAAGTTCAAAATGTATAATGTACTTCGACGAACACTTTTTGACACATATGACGTATCTTTAGAATAATTGTTGTTAAACATGAAATCACATTTTTATGGCTATAAAAATATATCACTAAAAGTATTATAAGAACTTTAAAATTAAATCATTTTCAAATTTATAAATATGTCATTTTTTTAATAAAGTAAAAAGAGATAAAGAAGTCATATAAAATAAATTAGAGAGTAATAACTAATCAGTATACATTTATTCCATACTCAAGAAAACAACATAATGGAATCATATTCCCAACTACAGAAATACAAAAAACTCGCAAACTTCTGTCTGCGGTTCCAGCAATCTAAAAAAGAAAAATAATTTTTAATTATTTCTTTTTTTAAAAGGGATATAATTAGGAAGAGATATTGTCTATGTGTATTGAAATGTTAAAGTTTAAATTCAGTTCGTGGTGTTCATGCTCTTATTAACATTTTTCTTTATAGCCTTTGTGGATTCATCAGCTTTTTCCTTCACTGTATTCTCGACTGCGTTCGTCTTGCGCATCGCCTTTCATACACACATCGAAAATAAGTACTAATTGATAATTACTTGAAATTTGAAATAATTTATAAACTGAGTAATACTTATAGTATAACAGGTTATACAATCATATCATTAAAATAGAGTAAGGCTGGCATGTGGGTCGGTCCGGTCCGAAAACGGGTCAAGTGGGCCGGTTCAAACAGTCTCGGTCCTGGGCCGGTCCCAAAATAAACGGTCCTAACGGTCCCGTGCTAAACGGTCTTTTGGTAGGAACCGGGCCAGGATCAGGCCCACGAACTGATGGTCCCGGGCTAAACAGTCCGGGCCCGCGGGCTAAGTGGGCTAAACGGGCTGGGCCCGCGGCCCAACAGCTAAATATTTTTTTAAAAAAAAAATAAATAGAAATTAGAGACAAAAAAATATTTAAAAAATATCTAAGGCAATGCCTTGTAAATTTTTGTCACGACCCAAAATCCTAACCTGTCGTGATGGCGCCTATCTCAGTACTAGGCAAGCCGACAACATCAATAATCCACGATTTCCTTTAAGTTTGAAAATATAATGTTTAATACAATACCAAAAATCTAGCAAATTCCGATACAAACATTCCCAAAATCAGGTGTCACTGAATACATGAGCATCTATACATTACAAGCCTAGAAAAATGGTCTTTAATAGTCTAAGACCAAATATAGTAAACAAGAGATAGGGAAGGAGAGACAAGGTCTGCAAAATACGGTAGCTACCTTTGAATCTCCGAAAAATCAACTGTGCGAGAAAATCAACACCCAATGTATCCGGAATCACCTGGATCTGCACACGAAGTACAGGGTGTAGTATGAGTACAACCAACTCAATAAGTAACAATAATAAATAAAGAACTGAAAGTAGTGACGAGTTTCTCAGCTAAGTCCAAATACAGTTCTTTCCAATATAAAAGAGTAGGCATGCTCTCAAGTTCAACATTTAAGTTTCACTGAAATTTCATATCAAGTTTGACCGAAACAAAAAATATTATTTTTTCGAAATTTCCAAAATAGAGATATATGACAACTGAAATGCAGCAAATAATGAAATCAATGCATCCTCTCAGAGTAACAGTTACTCAGTCCTCCCATTCACTCCAACCTCATAGTCACTCTTTCCTCACAGTCACTTTTTACTCACAGTCACTCATTCCTCACAGTCACTCATCACTCGACACTCGCACTCAGTAGGTACCTGTGCTCATTGGGGGTGTGTACAGACTCCGGAGGGGCTCCTTCAGCCCAAGCGCTATAACAAGCCAATCATGATATAAATTAATAAAATATTTTGTGGCATGCAGCCCGATCCAATAAATATCCTCACAATTAGGCCCTCGGCCTTACTCAGTCATTAACCTCTCCAGTCTCTCGGGCTCTCAGAAATCATGATGAGTAGCCCAACAATAATGATATGATGCATCAATAATGAACAAGAGAGACTGAGATGTAATATGCAAGTAAAACCGTGACTGAGTATAAAATAATAATTTAACAGATAGTTCAACATGTACACGACCTCTGTGGATCCCAACAGTGTCAACACATGATTTATAGTTTAATTTCCCTAATACGTGGAAAAATATACGGTAGCAATAATTTATTCAACAACACAGATCTATGGAATCGACCATGTCACAATTCCTACGGCGCACGCCCACACGCCCGTCACCTATCATGTGCATCACCTCAAAACCAATCACATATTACAGAATCCGAGGTTCCATACCCTCAGAACCAAATTTAGAATTGTTACTTATCTCAATCCAGCAATTCTTTTATTCCAATAAGCCTTTTCCTCGTGATCTGGCCTCCAAACGCCTCGAATCTTAGTCAAAATAATTTGATACAATCAACACGAGGTATATGAATCAATTCCTTATGAAAATGCTAAATTTCACAAATAAATTCAAAATTAACTCAAAAATTAACAGTGGGGCCCACATCTCGGAACCCGATAAAAGTTACAAAATATGAATGCTCATTCAACCACGAGTCCAACCTTATAAAAATTACTAAATTCTGACTCCGATTCGGCCTTCAAACCCTCAAATCAATTTTTAAAAAATTTCTATTCTAATCTCCCAAATTATGAAATAAGTGGTGGAAATAATGTTAGATTCATGAATAACGGACCAAATCAAGTTAATATCACTTACCCCAGTCCAATTTGTGAAGTTTGCCTCCGAAAATCGCCCAAACCGAACTCCCCAACTATTTTTATGTAAAGAATGGCCAAAAGACCTGTTTATAGAGCCTCTGATGTTTTTGAGTGCCACAGGTAGTGTGGGGCACTGGCTGTGGCGCCATTTCCAGTATCCCAAAAATTCCCAGCGCCCCATGCTACCCTGGGCGCTGGCGGCGATGGAAAATCGTTCCCGATACGGAAATGGGCATAACTCTCTCATACTATGTCCGAATTCGAAGATTCTTTTAGGTATGTCTCCGAAATTTTAATACGGATCTAATACTTCAATCAAATCTGAATTTAGAGCTCATTTACTTAATGTGATACCACTTATTCTCGAAGAAACGACATCGGAACATTCTACATTCGATGCCGAAACCTAGCGAATCAAGTCCAATTGACCTCAAATTTTGCACACAAGTCATAAATGACATAATGGAGGTATTTCAATTTTCAAAATCGGATTCCGGCCCCGATATCAAAAAGTCAACTCCCCAGTCAAACTTCCAACTTAAATTTCTATTTTAGCCATTTCAAGTCTAATTTAACTATGGACTTCCAAATAATTTTCCAGACACGCTCCTAAGTCCAAAATCACCATACGGAGCTATTGAAATCATCAAAACTCTATTCCGGAGTCGTTTACATATAAGTCGATATCCAGTCACTATTTTAACCTATGCTTTAAACCTTGGAACTAAATATTCCAATTCATTCCAAAACCTCACCGGACCCGAACCAATCACCCGGGCGAGTCATATAACAACTGTAAAGCATAAATTGAGCAGGAAATGGGGAAACAAGTTTGTAATACTCAAAACGACCGGTCGGGTCGTTACATTCTCCCCCTCTTAGACAAACGTTTGTCCTCAAACGGGTTTAGAATTATACCTAGAGTCTCAAATAGGTGTGGATACTTGCTCTATATCTCCCGCTCAGTCTCCCAAGTAGCTTCTCCAACTGGCTGACCTCTCCACTGCACTTTTACTGAAGCTATGCTCTTTGATCTCAGTTTTCGAACCTGCCGGTCCAAGATGGCCACCGGCTCCACATCATAAGCCAAATTACCATCCAACTGAACCGTGCTGAAATCCAAAACATGAGACGGATCTCCGATTCACTTCCGAAGCATAGATACATGAAACACTGGATGTACACCCGATAGACTGGGTGGTAAAGCAAGTTCATAAGCCACTTCTCCAACCTTCTTAAGTATTTCAAAAGGTCCAATATACCTAGGACTCAACTTGCCCTTCTTCCCGAATCTCATAACACCCTTAATAGACGAAACTCGGAGTAGTACCTTCTTTCATATCATGTAAGCAACATCGCGAACCTTTCGGTCGGCATAACTCCTCTGT